ATGGAGTAGAGGTCGTGTTTAGTAGGTGGGAGGTGGATATGCGTTGTTTAGGTAATTTGTAAAATATGAGTAGATAGGGGAGCAAAGGAATACATCGTAGGTTGGTAGCGAAAAGAGGGGGGTGGGGGGGGGGGAATTAGTGAATAGTATTGTGAGAAAATCCAACCAATTTACAACTCGATATAGGATATTGAATTCAAGTAGAAAGTAAGGAACAAAGTAATACAGATTATGGGATTCGTAGATAGTGAGTGGGAAAATGAGATGAGAGATCGTCTCCATACTATGAAATTTAGCAAAGGAGAATCGCTTAGCGTGGATGAAACGAAGATAGTTGGAGGTTTAGATGTCCCAATAACGAAAAGTGCGGAGTGTTCGTGTCGTATCTGAAGGTATGAGTGGGAAGTTAATAATATAGGTTGCTTTCATTGTTGCATCGGAGAAGAACGTTAACGGGACAATCAGTAGCCCTGTGGTGACAAAATCCGTGATGAACAAAGTGATCGCTTTGTCAATTATAATAAAATCTTTAGGCCTCAATTTTATATTGAAAAGAGTACTTTATAATATTGATATAATTAATCTAAACATTTGTATTTTATAAAGGATATTCTAATGAATAGGGCTTTGATGAATTCTTGAATTTGAAAGGCTAAGTTTGAGTTTAAGACGATTATTTTTATATATAATAAAGTCTACTCACTATGCTTATATTAAATTCAATGAATAATTAACAAAAAAAATGAATATATCTATTGAAGTTGTTTAAGATTATTGTTTATATAATATATTCTATATTGTATGATATAATGATAAAGCTTACAATTAAAGAATAAATTGAAAGTAAGTAATAAGAAATAGAGATCTTCTTCTCTATAAATTGTTTACTAATATCTTTCACTCACTCTTTAACTTTTTCATTCGTCCCCTCTTCCTTCTAACTTCTATACTCACTTCCATTTCGTTTACCTATTCTACAACTCTAATATTTAAAAACTCTTTAAGATCTTAAAGCATTATTTTCATTTCATTCATTAAAATTCAATAGTAAATGTATTATAAAAAGTGCTGATTTTATTCGATATAAATAAATTGAGTATATCGTTAATAGTCGGCTTATATAAGCGGCCTCCTAGTTTCTAGTCGGGAAAAGCGATTGTTCCCTTATATTTCTCAGTAGGTAACTTATCTAATTTTCAAAATAAAATTTAAATTCTCATATTACTGAATTGCTATGATTTCGCTGAATTTAATAATATAATATTGTTTCAAATAGTAAGATATTTTTTTGAACGGGGACAACCGCTTTCCCCGCTTAGGAACTAGGAGACCGCTTATAAGAGCTGATCATTAGTAATAATTATATTATTAATATTGTAATACATATATTAAAAGATTTGTATGGGGATTTGTATTGAATTTTTCTTCATCTCGATTATTAACTTTGCCACCACAGGGTGATTGATGGGAACATTATACGATGGGAAAGACGTCTATTTTGCTTGCTTTGGAAAAGCGCGTGAGCTGTATGTAGTGTGAAAATTGGTCAAGATGTTATTTTGGAGTTGGAGAGTTGGAATAGTAAGCTGAGTAAGTGGAAGAAGAATACAGGAGGACTGTTGATAGAGATTTTGATTTGGAGGATTGATATGAGAGTTTAGTTGGAGAAGATATGAAGAGCCTCATGTTGGAGAAACAAGGCAAATTTTCGTTAGCTTGTGAGGGTTGATGCCTACGATATACCATCCTTTGAGAATAAGCTAGGCTGCACAACTATTGCTCACATGCGGGAAGAAAGATTTAAGATTCACTCAGTCAATTATCTCCACCAACCTTCAGACATTTTGCCCGTATCTCTGTTGGGAAGAAGCTCATGGAGATAGTGTGGGCGTTGATCGCATGGGAAAAGAATGGATGATAAAAAGAGCAAGGCTCTGAGATTCGAATGAGGCAAAGGAGAAATTACGTTACATCTTGGTTTACGATCGCCATCACTTCTGGAAACTTTGATTATTGTCGGCCTTGCGATCTGGGTCATGTTCATACAAAGTATAGGGAGATACTGTGTAAACGATCCTCGATTACGAGAACATGCGGTCATAAAGTCCCAATTGGTGTGGTTGATCCAAATATCTATCAATCACGATTTGGATCTTTGCCTAGTCGAATGCTTTCAGATTGCGCTTGCTGATGCACATACGCAATGCTTTGCAGCTAAAAGGTAGTGTAACATCGTTTGCAAGAAGCTTTAGATGGCAGCGGTGAATCTGTCTTTTATATTGAAGGCTCGATGTTTACGTCAATCCGAACATATTACTAGGTAGGTAAAGCCTGACTCTATGCGAACTCGACAGAGGCTGTGTTGTGATTCGTAATGGTATAAACTGGGATTACGAAGCGACTATCTTTTCAAATTGTAACATCTTTTCATTTCATTTCATATCATATCAGTGCCAGATCTTAACAACTTCAGTCTTTGCAGATACCGATATCCATATTATAGCAATTTCGTACGAATATAGGGTTATTGCTCGAAGTTGTAATCTGAAATTTTATGATCAAAGCAACTGTAGAGCCTCGCAGGTTTCTGGATCCTAGGGATCTTTTCTTGTATTTTCAACTGACCTCCATATCAAGTATGCATCCATAACACAGAGAATACCCCAGGAATTGCATTAGCGACAGGCACTACACATACGTTGCAATAGTCTGATAAAGTTTGGGATCTCCGATTATCATTACACAACGTTATTGTGAACCCTCAATGCTCCTTGGCTATCACAAACAAAACACTAGTCAATCCGAATAGAGAGATGGGAATGGTACACAGCCAGTCATAACAGCTAAATGATATTCAATAAAAAATCAGCCACTTGAATGCCTAACTAAAAGAGAGGCGCAAACGTTCGAAACACGGATAATGGCCGGGGTGGGGTAGTTCGACACCAGCACCGCCTCAATATCAGAAGAGAAGTGTCGCTGTTCGATAGTTTTGATTGTAGTGAGCATCATCCGGCACTATCTACATGGAAAAAATGGTTCGGTACTTTTCGTCAATAAGTAAACCATCTCATCACGACACATCTTCACTGCAGATTCGTTGATAATCTACGCAGCCTTACGAAGATCGTTCTATAAGTATTGATGATGCCCCCGTAGATTTGCTATGATTCGTAGACTTCAGAGAACTCCCTCAGAAATCAATTAACTATCGATCCAAAGACATATTGTTATCACGTTCTACTCGAGTGCCTGGCCCAATATCTTCGCATTTCACACCCAGCCTTATCACTCTAATCCGGACTCACTATAGCCTTGGCCCTGTACCTTCCCATCTGTGACATTATCTGGCATTAAGTCACGATTTCGTCTCCACTAAACCTTCATCCTGTACCTCCATGCTTCTATGGTCCTACGGCTTTCACCACAGCCCCGCTCTTTGTATCATTCCACTATCTCAGCCTCCCCTGGCTCTTCTTGGCTATTTTTTCTGCACACTTAAGGAATTCACTACCTCAAATTGCAATGCGTATGTTGACTCTCTTCGAAGCTTTCTTCCCATCTCAGCTAATTTGAATCCCAAGTTTCAACAAGTGATGCCCTTGCCCTCGTTTTCGGCGTCGTCTCCGCCGTACTAGCCGGTATTGCTATATTGATGGCTCATAAGGCACGAATCATGATGAATGATAATATGTAGCCCCGAGCATGCCCTCTCTTAAACTCACGTCAAGCTTGATGAGCTGACCCAATAGCCCAATAATTATCGATATCGAGGCACATGCTTTAGTAACAGGTTCTCCAGAAGCTTCGACAATTGGAAAGAGACAAGTTGGCAACAATGAGGCTATTAGAGATCTTTTAAAGTCTATTGCTAGATTGATTTATTAAGAAAGCGGAGAGAAGATGATGTGGTGTTGCCTTTGAGGTATTTGGTTCGCTTCGAAAAAGAAATGAAGGGGGGATAGTTCGGGCAAAGAAGTGTGCTATTATAAAATATTATGATTGGATGACAGAAATTTATGGCTGTCTGTCGCATTTTTGGGCTTTTCAGCCTCTCATGGGGGATTCTTACGATGGGAGCAATAAATAGCTATACCACCATCTAGGTAGCTACAGTAGTAGATACGATGGGATGTTTCTATGATGCCAGCAAGACGATATTTAACAGCAATTTCTATCTTACTGACAAACCGTCGCACACAAAACTTGTCTGAATTACTATCTTAGTATTGAGATGCGAGGCACTATGAATAATTGTTAGAAAATTCATGATTGGTTACTAAATATAAATTTAATTGGATAACGCTATATGTTCCATTTGGTTGCCGCTGGAAAGGGGGACTTGGGGCCAGAAAGACACATGCACTCGATTTTCTCGAGGGGAATTTACATTCTCCTCTTAGTTAGAAGTCTGAGTCGATATTTGAATCGCAAGCCCACTGTATACCAGAGAGATAACAAATCATGATATAAGGCATCTGTGTGATTTGGTTAAGAGCAACGAAGGGGAGATAATTCTCTCTCTCCAAAGATGGCTCTTTCTTTTTTTCTTCATTAAGTTCAAATTTAAATGATGTTTTTAAACCCTATAGTTTTATCATATCTAGCTCCGTGAAAGTGAAGAGAGAATAAAGAATTTGAGAGATTGGAAACTGGTAAAATGGTTTCAAGGGAAATGCAAGAATGGCTTATAAGCCAATTAGCAATGGATATACAGTATAAAATATACTGTTATCTCTTTTATAGAGTGTGTAAGTCACAAATTGTAATCTAGCTTTTAGGGTCTTTCGGTAAACCTATTTTCAATAAGTCAAGTTCAGTGTTTTGTCACATGGGAATCGTAAGAGAGTTTTGGGGCTGTGGTTTATATAGGTTATATTATATATGTAAGGAAACGGACTCATGGTACTTACTGTCAAGTAGAAAAATCGAACAAAAGGAGAGCACTAACAATCCAGTATTAAACGCATCGAGAGGTTGTCTATAGAATACATGATATACTATTCCAATTCCAGGTCTATAATCCTGTTGAGAAATTCAGCTTCAGCTCTCATAAGCGCGAGTGTGGCAGTACGATATCTCTGAATGGGATCATTGAAGTTATCTACCTCTCGCCTCAGTTCACCAAGTCTTTCATAAGATGTTGCAAACTGTGTGCTATTCATTTGATGGCGCCGAACCAGACTTTGGTACCTAGTAAAGTTTGCTTCAGACAAGCCCGGAAAACTCGTCAAATCAAGTTCACTTGAGTTTTGAATGTGTTCCTCACTGAAGAATTCTAGGCCAAAAAAGGTTTCGCTTGAAAGCTGTAGTTCAGCCTGGAGATCAGTGAGATCTTGGTCAGTCTCCACGACTCTCAAATATGCATCTTCGACAACAGCCTCTAACTGTACGAGTTCTTGTGCCATAAGAATTGCCTGATTGGGATCAACTTGTGGCGCGGGGGATATTAAGGATACAAGCCATTCTGGAGGTGGGCCTTGTTCTGGGGTATCGTGAATAGGCTCAAGTATCATTCGAAGCATTTTTCTACAAGCGGGGCAATCGCCATTAGGAGACATGTTAATCCATTCCCCGATACAGTGCATATGGAATATATGATTGCATTGGGTTTTGACTGGTGCGCCTTCCTCAACTATCTCGTTGAGCGGCTGACGACAAATCCCACAATCATCATCACACGAAGTGGAATCGACTTGACAGAGAATTTTATAACCCATAGCAAAGTACCATTCGACTTTCGAAAGGGTTGTTCTCGAACGCTGAAGGGCAAGATTCAACATCAAGATTTGTCGAAGGTATAAAATTGACTGTCTGATTGAAGGAGACGGGAATTCGCCGCGGAGTATGCGAAGCCAAAAGTCAGGAATCAGGCGCTGATTGACCATAATATATAGCACACCGAGAACCTCCTTAGGAAGCAAACTCATAGTTCTACAATTAGATAAGCTGTAACTGGGATCTTGAAAATCAACAGGAGGGGGTAAGTTTTGGAAGCGAACATGTAAATCCTTGGTTTCATCTTCAACATCTTGGAGCTTGTAAAGGTCTACCATTGAATCAATTTCTGGATATCCGGGCTGGTTTTCATCAGGATTAGATATTCTGGGATCGGGAAGCATAAAGCAATCGTTACAGAAGTCAGCATGTGTGAGCGCCATAGGGTCAGTCACCATGTTTTCGCAGAGAGAACCATTTTCCTGACATGGGCGGATGAATGGGGTTCTATGACCACACCTTGAGAAGACAAAGTCAATGGTGATACACATCTTGCACTAGATTTTTTCAAAGATCTTGAAGGTTTCTGAAAATAGATAGATTTGGGGTATAGTGGTCTAGATATGGTGAGAATGAAGAGGAAGTATCTCATATTGCAGGTGATTCTGGTGAATTTAACATAAACCTTACAACGTTGTTCTTGAACTGAGTTATCTAACAGCTCCCAGATGATACACATGGACAAGATTTCATTTTGCTTCAATTACAGAGTGCTACTGAGTCTCAAAGATAAAGACATCGAAACAACATTACAAATGAATCGAGATAACGGGATAGAACAAAGCAATGAATCAACACAAAGAACCGATGCACGCCAACAAAGCCATTGTATTTGCTAGTCAACAGAACAACAATAAAATTAATGAACGGCTGATTACAATTTTTAATAACCAAAAATAGATACAAAAGTAAAACATCGAGGTTCAAATTTCATAACATAGAAACCTTGCAATCGCCGCTTGTCCACCCCAATTTCTCCATTTTTTTCATCATGGCTCCCCTTTGCCACTTGTTTTAGTCTTCTCTATTGAATTTCCTTACGATCACACACCTCAATACTACTATTCTTTCACCTCTACTTCAATTTTATCTTTTCATCTCAATTTTATGTTCTGACTACACTGCCTCCTACCCTAGTATTTCCACACTCGCTTAATTTTGGGGGGTTAATAAACTCTCTCTCAACAACACAAAGGGCCGTTGAGAATACATTTTCTTTCGACCCCGATTGAATTGGCCAAAGAAAACCTTAAGAAAAAGAAGAAAGAATAGACTGAAGTGTGCACACACACTCAAAAAGCTACTTGTTAATTTTCGTGATTTGGAAGTTACGTTTAGTTTATTAGCTCGATAGTAGTGATCAAGCATAATTCTATTGGATAGATATCCATCGAAAAATCATTCACAGCGATAAACCATATGTACTCGCAACTATCACATGGAAGGAATTTGTTGCCTCAAAATGGAACCGGGAACTGAGAATAGAGAGTTTGAAGTGAGGGATTTGAGTCGAATTTAGCACATGATCACGGGGCAAGTTACATGATGGAAATTTTATCAGTATTGGTTTATGTGTTTTATATTTTTCAAATGTAAGAGTGGAAACTATTGTTAAAAAATAAGAGATGAAGATAGAACCAGCTGTAGTGTGAAGCGAAAAGAATGAAACAAGATGACGGTTTTACAACTTAGTGAATCTGTAAGTTATTCATCATCCTCCGTTCTATCGCACGCTCACCTGCATCAGAATCATCGGAATCATCAGAGTCTTCTGCTCTCTCAGCCTCCTCAACTTCCTCCAGAACGAGCGTTGCCACAACATCCCACGCCATATTCAACGCTCTCGCAGCAGCATAGTATCTCGACTGAGCAAGATCGTATGCGTGATCCTTCTCTTGTCTCCTATGCAACCAATCACGAAGAACATTCTCGCGCATGAGACGTGTTCTTTGATGTTGACGAAGTGAATACTGATAGTCTCGGAAATCTTGTTCCTCGATATTCGCAGCAGATTCAAGCAATCGGTCTTGGAATGTACGGAGATCTTCCAGAGGAACGAATACGCGAGTGTCGATGGCTTCGGTCGCTATGCGCACGCTTCTATCGGTGATTAAGAATTCCTCTCTGGCGGTTACGAGAGCTGCGCGTGCGTCTACAACTGCGAGTTGTAGTCGTTCCAGGTCTTGAGCGGTGACCGTTTCGGGACGAGGAATAACTGGGCGTATACACCTGTTTAGAATTGTTAGCCATTCTGGGAAAGGTCCATCTATTTCTAGGCGAGTAGGGATTTGTGGAAGTTCCGTTTCTCGAAGCAATCTTCTGCACATAGGGCAGTCGCCACGAGCAGATGATACAAACCAACGCTCCAAGCAACCTTCATGAAGCATATGATTGCAGGTTGTCTCTACTACAGCATGATTCGTTTCTCCTTCATCATGGTGGTTTAAAGGATTTCGGCAGATACCGCAATCGTCCATGAGTGCTTGCAGGTCTTCAGGACGAGTGAAATGTCTAGAATTGTCGAAGTTTATGAAGACTCTATAGCCCATCGCGATTCTCCAATCATCGTTATCCAAAGCTTGAGAAGCATCTGCCAGAGCATAATTTAACACTAGAATTTGACGAATATTGAGGGTTTATATTCTGTCAGCAAGTGGTATATTCTCACCGTTAATAACACGCGCCTGGAAAGCTGGAACTAAATGATGGTGAACAATCTCATCGAGTACTCCCAAAGCACTCTGATTAAGCAAATCAAATACCACTATCTTCGTCGAGTAGAAGTGAGCATATTGATTAAGAAGGTTGGGGAGGGGTAAGCTATGGAGGTGAGCTTGTAAGTCTTGTGTTTCAGCTGTCAGATTCCAAGCCTGATAACGTGCTACATCATTTTCTGTCATTGCCTCCTCGGGTTGATAACCAGGGGTTTCTCTAAAGTCAGGAAGCATCCAACAATCACGGCACACTTCAGCTCTTAGATTGCAGGTGTGCGCTGACATCATATTGCAACGAATACCATCGCGCCCGCATGGACGAACGTATGATTCTTCGTGGCCACACGCCAAATACTTGAGAGTAAGAGTGAGACACATCTTTCTAAATGTAAGTGGGTGATTTCTAGTACTGGTCGTTGAAATAGTCCAGTAGGTTTCTAAAGTAGATGAGAGTTTAGAGACGACTGAATGTTGAATAGCCACAACCCAGAAGGAACACCTGGATAGTCATCAAACCTCAATGACATTGTTCACGATCTGAATAACAGGTCAAGAATATTTCTCAGGATGTTCCCTTAATAGGAGCGCATCTTGAACAAGGTTGTCTTAACAAGACCATTGTCCAAGCCAAGAATTACAACAAAGTCACCTCCGCAAACCTCGCTTTATGTATCAAATCCATACAATTCAACCACAACAGAACAACGACATTATTCCAACAAGAACAAAGACATTCATCGGAACCCAGAAACTAATAGAGTAGAAATGAACTACTCCTACAACAACCACCATCAAATAAATCCGGTAGAAGGGCATCAACACCTAAAAGTTACGGAGAAGCAAGTAATCACAAGAATAAGTAACGCGGCACTCGCCACCGTAAAACATCGCCGGCCTTTCTCGATAGCATCCAGAAATTTAATCACTCACGCAATGGCAATCACATCAATTCAGGGAAGACTTGAATCTTGTAGTAGAAAAGTCTGATACAATTCTTTCAATCTTCAAGATCGTTTCTTCCTTCTGCCCTTCCTTGACCCCTGCCTACGACCCTCCGAAACTGCATTAAAAAAGATGATTATAATCTACAATAATACACGTCCTCTTCACCCCTGAATGTTTAGGTCCCGCTGTAATTGCTCTTTCAGGCCACAGAATAGTGGCCATCCATCACTAGAGCAATTCTAACGTAGTGATATAATGCAATCGACAAATTGTGCGATCAAGAAGAGAAAAGGATTTCACTATCCATCGACTCATCTGTGATGAGAAACTATGCCGGAAAGAAGAACGCCAACCCAATGCAAATGCTAAGATTCTTTTCCTATCGTAACCGATTCGTCTTTCAGTTTTATCGTATCATCATGTTTTGCTGTGGGGTTGACAGCTTTTTTTGTTGTAGTTTTTGTAGGAATACTCAATTATGGCGTGAGTAGTGAAGTTAAGGAAATAAAGCCATCTGTTATTAAAAGGCCATTCAATGATTGATGTTAATAATAGGTTGATAACTAACGGGTATCTTTGAAAGAGATGATTCGAAACGCGACGCGGAAACAAAAAGGGTGATGTAATCTGAAGGAGATCCATTATGGCCAAGATTTCGAGTACAGTCGTTACAAATCAGCCCATCATGCTGGCCTCGTCATCATCATCGTCATCTCCTTGCTCTAGACTTTCGATCGCTTCTTTGATTTGTTGACTTGCCTGTTTTTGATTAGTGGTGGATTTCTTGATCAATATCATTTGCATATAAATACCTTTGGATCTAGGTTTAAAGCAATGGTAAAATGCCTAACCGAAGCGCCCTTTTGTTTCATACTCTTGTATAGTCTTCCCAATAAGAAGTGAACCATTGCCTCATCAGGAGCCAAGTCTTTCAAGATCTTCAATTCATCCAAGGCATCCTCCAATCTCCCCATCGTCATCAAGCAGCGGGCTTTCTTGAAACGAGTCAACGCTGATTTTGGATCCAGGTCAATTGCCTTTTTGAAGTATGAAAGTGCTAGACCTTTGTTCCCTTTCTTATCGACAACACTTCCCATAAGACCCAAAAGCACCGCATTTGTTGGGTTGATTTTAGAGGCGGCTTCGAAGTGTATGAATGCTTTGTCATAATTACCCATCTTTTCGTACACTTTGCCAACTCCGTAGTAGGCATTGTAGTGTCGCCTGTCAACAGCCATTGCATGTCTGTATGAAGTAAGTGCTTTATCGTATTCTTCATTCATAACATGCTCATGGCCTTGAAGTGTAAAAGCATAAGCAAACTTAGGATTTAATTGTGTAGCCCGTTTGAAACAACGTAAAGCTTGTTCGTGATCTCGCATGAGCGACCAGGAATTTCCAAGTGCACACCAAGCTTCTGGCGATTGCCACGAAGAATCCACCAATTCATGGGCTAGGAAAGCCAGATCAGTTTCTTTTTTCAGATGCCACAGTACAGTAGAATAGATCTCCATATCCTCAAAGCGTGTTGGTGCTATCTGTCGAATTCGTTTATATAAGGACTCTGCTTCGGTATATGACGCTTGTTCGTAATGAGCACGACCCATCTGTGACAACACCCAAGGAGTGTCTTGCTGTTGAGTAGATAGTGTAGAGAACGCTTCTAAGGCCTGATGAGATTGGAATCTTGCAAGTAGAAAATAACCGGTCCCAAACTTCTTGAACAGATCGAGAAGCCATCTTATGGCTTCCTCTCGGGTTCCAGAGTCCGATTCGGATGATCTAGTACCAAAAGATTTTGTGGATACCCGAGGTCTTATCTCTCCTTCCCTTTGGTCTAATTCCATAGAATCCTCCACTGGTTTTCGATTACCACTGACCTGTCTGCCAGCCGTGGAGGACCCAGCCGGACGCATCATTTTTGATATCGGAGGTCTAGCTTTCTTTAATTCTCTTCCAGGGGCAGGTCCCACAGTCGCAAGATTACTGGAAGATTTGGTGCTTGTCGGTCGGAATTGGTTGATCAATCTGACGCTTCTTCTCTGAGGTGCTCCAGGATCTTCCGAAGGTTGTCGGGGCACTACCTGTCCGGATACCGTTCGTTTTCTATCCCCACCTGGTACCGTAACAGAGTTGTGGCGAGAGTTATGTCCCGCGCTATTGTCTTCCGAAATTTCAGTAGCTGCTTTTTGAAGTCGTTTCGAAGTCATGGATCGGCCCATCTTGGGAACATCCATACTAAAGTCCATACCCAGGCCCTGTAAGGTTCGATTTCTGCGAACGGGGGCCTGTGGGGGCTCCATGTTGATGGGAAATGCTGATGCCACACTGGTGTCTTTTCGACCAGGTGCAATGGAATAATCGAGGGGGGCGCTAGGTCCAGTAGGCGTTTCTACTGTATCAGAACTAATGCTGACACCTCCAGCCGCGGGGAGGTTTGTAAGACTCGGGTTGCTCTCGGCAAGCTTCGATGATGCGGAAGTCGCAAGTGACCCAAAAATTCCACCCGCAAATGATCGAGACGAAGAATTATTATTGAAAGGATCTGTAGGGTCACTCTGGTAAGATCGTGCGCTGGGTCGGGTTGGCCTAGGTTCTTCCACTGACAATGTTTCCATTGGCCCCTCCCGATCTTGTGTATTCGATTTCAGTATTGCCTCCATCTCTAAACTCATCCTAAAGGTACTCGAGGCTCTAACACTTGTACCCATATCACAAAGATTAGTAAATGCATCCCACATGAATGGATTCAATTTCAGCGCCTCTTCAAAATAACCAATCGACTGCTTTTTGTCATCAAAAGCACGATAGAGCTTCCCCAGTAAACAACAAACCGCAGATGCGTCAGGATCAGGATGTCGTGAATATTGTGTATGTTTACCAAACGAGTTTTGCGCCCCCCAGCAACCTCTGTTCTTTTCTAATGCTAAGATTCCCTCCTTGAGCTTCCCCAAGGCAAGACATGCTTGCGCGTAGATGTAAGCACAGCCAAGATGCCCCGATCTAATGTTTGGGCTCTTCACAACCTCGAAAGCGGAAGCATAATCGCCAAGTCGCAAATAGCATAAGGAAAGAAGGTAAGAGGATTCGGGACCTTTCGGGGTGTATGCATGCAATCGTTCTGCGAAGAACAAGGCGTTCTTGAGGAGGTTATTATCAATGTGGTAGTAGATGAGTTGACAAAGTTGATTCGTGATACAAGGGTTGATTGACTCCTTCCTAGAGGAGGGCATTGTGTAGGATGGTGAAAAGAGGAAGTAGATCCAAGTCGCGAATTTTGTGTTTGTTATGATGTTCTCGCCATGAAGTCAACAGAGCTTCCGATTTTCGATTGTAGCCAAACTGGTTTGTTCAAAAAGGTATCCTTCGTTATATTCTTTGAACTTCGAACAAGAACGAACAAGAATGAACAGTAGGTCTCTTGCGCGTGGCGTTATTTGGTCTGGTCGGGTCGGGTCGATCTGATAAGATGTAAATTTTTTGTAGCTCCACGAAAGCTATCTTTGGATCGATGACATTAATATTATCTAGTTGTATTCTTGTTGAAAGTTGTAGGTAAAAGGAAGCAAATAGGAACTTGGTGAATACGATCGCAAGGTCGTAAAAAACAGAGTTGTTGGTATTGCTGGTTACCATTTATCATGTAACAGTGAAGGTGGAATGACAAGGCAAGGTAGGCAGAAAAGGGTCGTTGCCTGTATCAAGAAGCAAAGGCTGAAATGAGACTCTGAGGACCGTGTAAAGGTATCGAAGTGAATTTGCTTTGGAAAGAGGAAAGGTCGTGTGAAGTTATAGTAAAGAATAAAGAAGATCAGGCCAAAGGAAAGGGGAAGGCTGTATACGGCGCAAACGCAAATGTGATGAATCCAAAATCCAATACAAATGGTTTTGTATGGCTATAGTCGAAGATTCCTTGCTATTAATTCGGGATAACATCAAAACCTTGCTCATCCTCGAACCTCTTCGATTTTTGTTCTGTTGTTTGTCTGATCGCGGTGGGAATGATTGGTTGCAGACCATCCACCCAGCAACAATCAGTCAATTGGGGGAATTTCGTATTAGTCAGCGAGGTACACAGCAGCTCTTCAACTTCTGAATTGTTCCTTGCAGACTCAGCCTCGTGAAGAAGCTCAATTGCCCAGTCCAGCCGATGTGACTAAACTTTACGAAACCCAACAATCTGTCCCAGTTCTTGAATCAGATGAAACCCTTTTAAAAATCGAGCTTTAGAAATTCTATTATTGAAAAGGTACTTCTCCATTGTGCAACCTGCGACATTACATCAAATTAATCTTGTTTCAGCTATCTAGAAAAGGCCAGATCCTAAACACATCTACTTATTCAAATTCGATATCATCTTTCCACCTCATCCACAATGGCACAAAAAGCCAAGAAAGACAGAGCAAAGGCCAATATCCAAGCACTAAACTACCTCCATTGTGGGACATTTCTTGCAAATGCTTTGTTCTGCCTCTTCCACTTCTTGATACGATCAAGGAATATGTGGGCATACGTACTTTTCTCACTTGCACCCTGGGTTATTGAATGGTTTCTTGAACAGAACAGTCGTCCCAAGTTCGATCAAGCTGGCAAGATGGTGTCTGCAGGAGAAGACCTTGCAGCACCCGGATTGACAGAATATATGTTTGATATTATATGGATGCATTGGTTGTCATTGGTTGTTGTTGTGATTTTTGGCAACTGGGGCTGGCTTGTCTTTTCCGTGGTGCCTATATATGGACTTTACAAGGTTTTTGGTCTATGGTCGGGAGCAAAGGGTATGATGGGTGGTGGTCAAAGAGCACAAGCACCCGAAGAACAAATGCCAATGGCAGGTAATAGGAGACAGAAGAGACAGTAAAGTCGCTTGTCCGTTTATGTTTGATCGTATATTGTATATGGTCTCAGTGGAGGTGATGAGAAATAGAGCTTCGATATACTAGGTGGTGTGAGCAATGTACATACAAGATACACTCCTGTACATATCAATTGTTCTAGACCTTGTTCCCTGTCCAGTACTCAATATCATCCTTCTGGACATCTTTGATCAAGACATGGATATGCTCAAGGGCTCTGACACTCTGCAATGCGACCCAATTCTTAAACCACATCACTCTATCGGTGCCTTCTAATCTATCGGCAAATGTTCTCTTCACGAAATCTTCAATTATTTTCCGGCTCTCATCCGTCACATCTCCATTCCCATCATCGGTGGCGATCGGTGTTTTTGACCACACCACAAAATGGGTAACATCTTTCGAGAGACCGTATGGCCAATCATTTAGCAAAATTTTGTAATCCGAGGGATTCTCAAATGGGATTGAAGAGATGTAGCTGAACGGTGGCGAACCCCAGGGAAGTCGATGTTGGAGAATATAATTCATCATACTTCCATACTCGGCTTTGATAGTTGTGGACCAAGACATATAGCGACGAAGGTCAGAGGGCTTTCGTTTGAGGATTGAGAGATTATTCGTTGCTTGACAAAAATTAGAGATAGAATTGGGCTAAAATGCGCAATGTCATGTGAGAAAGCTGCATGGGATAGAACCTGGGAGATTGATCATCATCACACTGGTGATCCTTCTTGTGTATTCTGATATTTTGCGAGTTATATATAATATGGAAACGGAGCTCTTTTAATGGATTCACTCGAGAATAGCTTAGCTCACCTATAATCTCTTTCAACTCGTCCCAATCATGCAGATGAAACTCGTCGTCAGTCTGTGATAACACCCATCTATCTGTGTCCGTGAGAGGAAATGGTGAATCTTCCGATTTATCACCTACTTTCTCTCCATTCTGATGAATCGACTCACCCATTTCTTCACACGGCGGCTGAAAGTTACTCGGTTTGGAAATTTATTCAGCCCTGTCGATATGATGAGGTTTAAATGTAGTTTCAACTATCGGAATGACTCCGAGTTGAGGAAATCTTATCCTCATCGGGGTAAAGTTCGGCGAGCGAGCTCTGACCCCAGCCGAAAGTCAACAATGACAGACTTGAGCTAAATTATTTTGGTATTGACTTTCCCGCGGAGAACCGCACGTTATACATCTTTCTTACAATACCATCACTCTTACTTTTCCTTTAAAGTCGGGTCTCCCCTCCTAAGCAACGTTCGAGAGTTGTTGAAACTGCGAGAAGAGTAATTGATTAAGCACGGTATATTGTATATTGTGATCTTCATTCGGTGGGATCTTCGAAAGAGCAAAAAGTACAAGGATCGCAACAAAAGCCCAACAATTTCTTGAGCTCTCACCAAATCTGCCAAAATGAGTACGGCACCAGCAAATAAGTTCTTGTCAAAGGCATACATTGATGGTATCTACATTCCATCTGGTCTTCTGATATTTGGATGTTTTATTGTCAAGAAAGATTGGCTTCCGTTCGCCGTTGCTCTCGCTGCCGTTCTCGGAGGATATAAGATTTGGTCGAGTCGTAAGTTTATGCTTTGCACACGGCCTTAAGCAATGTAATAAATGCTGACATTTTTGTAGAAGAAACTCCAGTTCTTAAGCCAACTGTCTTTCAAGATTTTGAGCTCAAGGAGAAGACCATTATTTCCCACAATGTAGCAATGTTAGTTTGGTTCCAAGTCGCCTTGACTGTTTCTAACATGAGCATAGTTATCGATTCAGCCTACCAAAGCCTACCTCTATCCTCGGTCTCCCTATCGGTCAGCATATTTCCATTTCTGCTGTTCTTCCCCAACCCGATGGGACAAGCAAGGAAATCGTTCGATCTTATACACCCGTCTCCGGCGATCACCAACCAGGTTACTTCGACCTTCTCATCAAGTCCTACCCCACCGGAAACATTTCTAAACATATGGCTTCTCTTACTGTCGGTCAAACTATCAAGGTCCGGGGTCCAAAAGGCGCAATGGTCTATACTCCCAACATGGTTCGTCATTTTGGTATGATCGCTGGTGGAACCGGTATCACGCCCATGTTACAAATCATCCGTGCTGTCATTAGAGGCAGAGCTGCTGGAGATAAAACTGAGGTTGATTTAATTTTCGCAAATGTCAATCCTGAGGATATCTTGTTGAAAGATGACTTGGACGGTTTGGCTGCTCAGGACAAGGGTTTCCGTGTTCACTACGTTTTGAACAATCCACCCGAGAAATGGGACGGCGGTGTTGGTTTTGTCACTCCTGAGATGATCACTGTAAGTCTATCTGGAAAGTTTTGATATAATAAATTATCAATGCTAATTTTATGCAGAAATGGCTTCCTAAACCAGCAGAAGATGTTAAACTTCTACTCTGCGGACCACCACCAATGATCAGTGCTATGAAGAAAGCCTCTGAAGGGTTGGGCTTTAAAAAGGCAAAGCCAGTCAGCAAATTGGAGGATCAAGTCTTCGCCTTCTAGACAATATCTTACCGACGCTGGAACGGAGATCGAAACAGCTAAAACTAGATTTTGGGAGAATCTCAGCAAATGTAAGCAGAAATAGAACAATTACGAGGAAAGAAGAGGCAATGCTTCAAAATCACATATAAGTCAATTTCTACATGAATCTTTTTTGTGATGCCAAACTTAATTTTGGAAGTGGTAGTCTCCACGACTTCCATACCTTTACAGTCGAATTATCAAGGTTACGGATTTTAGCCTGCAGTGGGTACCGGTGAGGATTCCACCAGGACCACAGTTTGTTGGCACTATAACCAAGCATAAACTTGTCAGTTCTACTAGTATAGCAGCAAGCTAGTATACTAATTTGTCATTTGTGTGTTATTACTTTGTTGATGCACAAGTGGTGCTGTCCATGAGAGACCATAATCCTTATTTCTGTGTCCTATGTTGAGTCCACGAATGAAAGCAATCTATGCTAAAAATATCCGGATTTGTTGATTAGCTTGCTTCGGTGTAGCTCCACGGGACCAAATTCATGGGCAGGTTCGGGGATTTCAAGATCCTTTCTTACTGCAAAATTAGAATGGACCGAATTTTGTCGTTATAGGGCTGTAGGATTGGGTTATCACGTCAATTCTTCCAACTCTCAAAGCCCGTACTCCACAAATGGATGGAAATTATTTCTGGAAACGTAGCGCGATGCGATTAATCTGGATCGCTGGTCAGTGCGGGGAGGAGCATTCGTTCGGTCCCGACGTTACTGACATTTGTTTCCCATAATTCATTTCCATGCCAAGTAATTTCTGATTGGCACAGATCCCGTGAATTTCTCAATATCACATTTGGTTTCAAAGCCATGCATTGGCAAGAAGAATATCTTGATGCTCATGCTGTCGAAGTTGGCCGGTTTTCTCATGGTTCGATCATTTGTATGTTTCCATCTACATCCCACCTTTCAGGCGTCATTTGCAAATTCTGAAGCGGCCGTCTACTTCAGTGTCAAATTCTCAACTAATCTCTAAGCTGGCCATACTGTGGGTGCCAATTCCTTTCAAAGTAAGCCAAAGTTCAATTTTGGACAACAGTGGGCAATTATAGAATTAACCCGGAGATAACGCTTTGTAAAGGACCCCTTATGTCGTTAGGATGACACGGCCTAGCTTGTCTAAAATGCAAGCGCGTATGGCCAAATAAACGGCTAGTTCCCAGTTTTCAAACCTTCTTGGAATCAAATTGTAGATATATAAAGACCTTCGAACCACTCTGTAGACAACTCATATCGACAATCACTTCCACATCAATACATCCAACAATCGGCATTGCCATCAAACAATCTTTTCTAAACTTTCCTTTGTCTTAACAATCATTTTTTAAGTTTTACAGCACAACCACGCTTCCACACTCATTTACAGATATATTTCTTGTCAATCACTTTACTTCACCCAACGACTTTAACATGCAATTCTCTACCCTTCTCATTTCGGCCGCAGCCCTCATTCCATCCGCCCTCGGCTGCCTGAACATTAGTATAGTTTACACTTTGCCATACCATAGCTCCAGCAGCAATCTTTTTGTTGAATACATAGACAATGGACAACGAAATTGCTACTTGAACCAGCAGAGTCCAACTATCGGCGGCCCAGCGACTTATAGTCTCCCCCCCCAAAGCTCTGGGGTTGGTCTCAACGATACATATCAAGGCTGCTTGTTTGGCATGAAGACCGTAATCACGCTCGATTTGGTGCATGACAAGAATAAGAAAGACAAAAATCAGATGGTGCAATACACTTACATTGATCAGAACAACAACCCTAGCTCGTATGGGCCTTTTGACCTTGGAGATAGAATAGTCACTGATGCCAAGGGGGATAAGGCAGAGACTTGGGTTTGGACAACTAGCGCTTTCTGTTAAGTGTCAATAATGGCATCGTAGGTGTCAAAGCCTTGAGCGATATGATGGCGCTCTTAGTGCCAACTATACCTATGAACGGTTTTCAGCTCAACGCAGCGAGAATGATCTCTCGGAGGGGGGATATTTGGAATTGGCTGGTGTATGGCGTGTGCTTGCTTGCGTGAGAGAATGGGAGCTGGTCTCGAAAGGTCGAGAGTTGATTTCTTGTCTTTGATTTTCCTTTGTTTGTCGTTTTTTGGGGGGGGGAGGGTTGTCTTACTTACTTGTCTTTTGCTGGGGAAGATTGGGTTCGGTTGTATGAGATAGATGGTGTGTGGGATTCGGTCTTGCTTATTATTGTTTATGGTCTTGGTGTATGGGAACTTATAACTCAATCGATTGGATTGGTCTCTTATCTTTATCTTCTGATTTTGAGTGATGGTGATGGTGATGATGATTTTGTGGAGTATATGATATGCAATGATGTGACGAATGTTATGAGAAATGAATTACTGCGAGGGTGGGTCTGCACTGGATTTCCCACCTCGTCGTTTTTGTTTACCCACCATGAGCATCCTTAAATCGCACCCTTTTTCGTGGTCAATATTAGTATCAGTAGATACTCTGCAGAAGTCATTTCGATATCTATAATATAGTCCATGTGAAGTGTGTTTACTGACCGGATCATATCTAATATCCGGCATTCTTCGAACATCTGAACTCTTGTCAATATCAAAAATACTTTTGATATTCACTCTGATAATACCTTAAGCTTCACACAGGTTTACTAATTACCAGCATGCGAAGAGGAGAGTAATAATGAAAATGTATATTAATCTAGATAATGTACATAGTTTGAGTTGTTGAATCATTTTCGTTGTGAGACTACAACCTAGAATGCTGGAAACCCTAGATTCTAGTCGACGATGAGAATACCTTTCGAATCAAGTTTTCTTAATACTCGGGTGTTATGCATAAATTATTTGAGCTATGGAGGAGAACCATCGATGCGATATCTCAGTAGCTGTGGTATTGTTAGGCTGAAAATACATCCATTCTTCGGACTCGTGCTGGAGAATGTTGAATTAGAGAAATCAGTGACATCGGATGGGGGGGATGGAGTTCATGCAATCGGAGACTAATTCTGGCGGAATACGTGTTCAGATGTGTTGAGACCTGCAACAATGAAGGATTTCAGACACTCAAGAATTTACCACAGATCTTAGAGTTGTTCATTAACCATAATTACAGCATTTGGCGTGGAATTTCAGGTCGAGGTTTTCTGGATTTGTTCATGCGAAATGATACTTTTGGAATCACAATTGCATCGATAGGTTGTGCTGAAACTTTGACGTTGAGTTTCATTTGTAGAGATTTATGAAATATTTTTAATCTCAGAGAGGCCCTCCCCTCGCTCTCCCGCGGGTGTGATATTGCTGGAATACAATCCAGAGTATCCTAAACTTTAACGTCCCAGTATTACCCCATATCCCCAACCGAAAATCTCATTATACTATCTAGTATGAAATCCCCTTTACATTAAAAAATTTCCTTGAAACTTAAACCCAGTAAAGCAGCCTTCGACTGCAAGATGATCTTGACAGTATTGACATCTTCATTAAATAACAACACCCCTCATATTATCCAGATCGTGTCCCTAACTCTACGTCACCCGAACACCTATAGCTCAATCAAAAGAGTGCCCTTCTCGAGGTCCTTCTCGAGGTCCTCCTCAGCCACTTTCCCATCAACCCCGAGGTCTATCAAAAAGTTTTCGTCCTCCTCGACCACTTTCTCAACAAGCCCGTGGTCTCTCAAAAACTTTTTGTTCTCCTCAAAAACTTTCAAAAGACACCCATAATGTCCCAAAAGCTTTTCAGTAGCTTCCAATCGCTTCTCTCCATCCAATTTTGCCAACTTTCCCAAGATTTCGAGTTTTCCTTCCGTACGGCCATTATCGTAGGCGCCTTCACGCCAAAATTTAAGCGCTCCCAGGGTCATAATAAGATACCCTATGCCAAGAACCCACAATGTAATATTGTCTTCAATGTGCCCATCGTAGTTCTCCTGTGTACCAAAGTAGAATGGCCATTCGTGCACCCGTGGGCTGCACGGCGTCAGAGGTTGAGATCTCCAGGCTATCGCGAACCAGCCGAAGAGAAATGATGTCAGGAATGTTGTATCGATGAGGATTTTGGTGTAGATTCTTTTGGTGGGTAATAGGGGTGAAGAAGAGAATTAGAAGAGACTTTCTGGAAGATTGGTGGGGGAACAGTTGGACTAATTTGGAGTCATGTGCTGGACGTCATTCCTCTTCACTAAATACACTAGGAATGGATTCAGCGCTAACAAAGACCTCCCTACACTCTCAGTTGAATCAGAAAAGTCACCCCCTCCTCGTTAGTCCAATGTTCGCGGCTTATTTTCCCACGCTTGTTATCTTGCAAACAAATTGCTATCATTCTCAAACGCTGATTACAATAGTATACTAAGCAAATCCTCAAATTTGACTGCCTAATACCGCAGGATCTAATTAGCTAGCTTCAAACTACTATCATGATTTATCACATACAGAGAGCCATGAGGATTATTAGAAGTTCATTAAATCTTCTCTGATTCCTTAGGGAACTTCAGCCTCCTTGATTGATCAAAGAGTTAGGAATACACAGTCAAATGTTGGCATTCAATTGAAGTCAAAGTCTCCTATAACTTTGAGTGTCTGAACTAAGCCGAATGTTCCGATGGAGCTGGCCGTCTGAGCGGGTTTGAATGTATAAGTAAAAATCATTATTAGAATAGTTCTGGATGTTTCAAGAAATTAGAATTTTTACATTGGAACCATTGCTCAAACAGAATTTAGTGACTACGAACAAACGTATCTGATCCTTCATTGACAATGAAAGATCTTTGCTTTCCAATTCTTAGATTGCATCTCACTTGATCTCATCAATGTTCAGAGTTCCTTCGCACCTTGAAGTGGCCTCTGTCCTTTGCTCAAGATTCATTCTATTTCGAACTGAGGAGAAAGGGTGCTCTACAATCCTTCCATCGATTGAATGAACCTTCAAACTGAGATCATGCTGAACGGCAGCTAATGGAAAGAGTTTGCCAAATAACCATAGCTTTTAGATATTCTTCGATTGTCCGCTCAACGAATCTTCAAGTTCCCCGGCACGGTACTTGAGAGCTTCTGTCCAATCCTCCAAGTTTTGATTGTACATTCACAGACTATGGCTTGCGCTTTCATTATTTAGACTTCGCTAAAATATCGATAGAGAAATCCGGAACTTCCTGGTTGTATGCAAGCGATAAAGTCTTTCAATCACTTTGCATCTAATCAACTAAGACTAACCGAACATTCGGAAAAGATGTAGATCTCATTTTGTGCGATTATTCAAAAGACTCTGTAACATGGCCTCGATAAAGGTCTGTTAGCTTCGGGTCACGTATCTTCAGTTTTTAGAATGTCTAAAAATTATCTTGAGAGTGGACATTAAATCATTGTGATGCTTCGCCAATATTCTACCAGTCTAGATGTGTCTGTGCGCAACCTCATTGGCAGAGCTGAAGCTAGCGGTGGATCAGCTCCCCGGATTGTACTAGTGAAGCAAAGGCCGAGCTTTAGAACGAAGTTAGGAATCGCAACTTGGGAATTACGATCTCGTAATAATTATTATCTCTCGGTCAGTTAATGAGATCCTGAGAATGCTACTTCTTCCGCTGATAAGATGAGTAAAGAACAACTAAACAAAAGACCAGTGTGAGCTTCGATATCGAGATGCACCCAGCACCTTCGGAGCCTTATGATCTTCTCAGTCTATTGATTTGACTTTAGTATTATATCAGGATCTTGGATCCAAGCTTTTATTGTGGCTTGACCTTCTGTTTGGCAAGCATGTGCGCCACTCAAGATAGACGTCGGGGACTTTCTTCTTTTTCTATTACAGGGGCCGATTGGGTTTTGCAGGCTTTGCTGACGAACGCGTCCTCAGCGGGTGATGGCATTTTAACCGGCAGACACGACTATTCTAGCATCGATACACTTTTACATGGTTCCTACCCACTTTATTATTGAACCCTACAAATCACGATGAACCAGATATGATCTTCGTCCGGGTCAAATACTGCCTAGGAGACCTTTTGATTATCTAACAACTGTTCTAAGCTTTAATAGAACATCCTATTTTCCCATGGGGAAAATAGGATGTCTGAAAAGGGGTAAGATTACTAGGATCGAAATGGCCTCAGCGTCTTTGGACCCTTGTACTGCTTTCAATGCATCGGTTCGACTTTGATAAATTGATAATGATCTAAGACTCAAGTTCTGAGTAAGGTTTGTTTAGTAGAAAAAGTTCCAATTTCTTCTTTTGGCTTCACGCCCGGTAGTAGTGGATATGACGCAAGGGTATTTAGAATTTCAGAAAGGTGTCTATAAAATGAATTGCTGGTTTGCGTGTAGCAATCCCTACGGACTAGACCACCATTCACCTACTGGGACTCTAGTTTCCTCTGGAGGTCGCCTTACCCGTACTTGGATTACAAGATCTGACGAATATGGCACCTCGAACTGGATCCAGGAACGAATTCTAATCTTCATTATATGAAAGCCATCGAGGCTGTAGGTACTGTGTAGGAGGATATCTTCAACTTTTAGGATTACTCAGTATGGTTTTAGAAAATAATCTGCTTATGATTACAGAAGGCTTTATATTCAAACAATCTCAAATCCGTTTTAAATTTTAAATTCGAGGGATTATAGTAGTAGTTGAAATGAAAGAGGTGAAGTTGATGATGATAATATAGTTGAATATCTGATTTATAACCGGCGTGAATTGTATTGAATTTGTATAGAAAAACTTGATTATATTGAACTGAGATTTTCAATTAATCAAATCCAATATAAAGAAAATTCTAACATAAAAAATAATAGCTTAAGATTTTTAATCAAAATTTTAATTTAATTTCAATTCTAAATTTTATTGTTTTCAAAAAAATTATACAATTATAACAAATCAAATTTA